TAGGTATTTTTTAGTTACAGTTTGATTTTTCTTTGGGGAGGGTACATCAAGAAATATGGTAATATTGAAAAAGGAATTCCATTTTGTTTTGTGAAAGTCTAGAAAGAATTTATTACAGTGAAGAGAGGGAAGATTTTCTTTTAGTGTTCAGAAACACTGCATTGAGTTGCTAACAGTACAATATGCAAGTGACCTAGTCCGAATAGAATGTTTGCAGAAATTATTAAGGTAAAAGAAACATCTTTTAGAGAGGAAGATAAAATTCTAAAAAGTAGGGTGATCTCTTTATTTGATTGGCATGATTGGTTGTAAAACAATATGTTGCATATTTAAGAAGAATGTTAACATTTTTAGGAAGGCAAAGAATTACGTGTTTTATATATATATATTTTTGTTCCAGACGTACCTTTGAGTCAGTGAATATCAAAAGCGCCGCTTCCAGCATTTAAGCTATCTCATATTTTGACTTTGTGCAATGTAAATATGTGTTTTTGTTTTGTCTATGTGTTGCTGGAATGTATTACTTTCCCCTAGGCCTGAAGAATAAATTAACAAAGTGTATATCTGACAGGCAACAATCAGTTTGTGCTGACATAATTAAGACTGTGTGAGGTCTATAACATGATTGGAATGTTTTTTTGGGTCATCTTTAAGAGAAGCAAGGAGTAGAAGGCATTAAACTAGCAGACGAAGCAAACAAAAAGATTCAAATTTACTTTTGACCATTCTTAAGTTTAAATTCCCATCTGTTCCTAAGAAACAATTGCCTTTGCAAAAAAAGACTTGCATGTTGTTGTTATCATCAAGACTTTAAAATCATAGATGGATAAGTAGAACATTTCAGTGCTCAATTCAAAGAAACAGAATTCAAGCCATAACTGAAAGCTTCAAAACCTGTTTACAGCAGCAGCAATGCATTGTTGGAAAAAAAAAATAGTTGCTTAGCTACTTTTGAGAAAGTTGCTGTTGTGGTTTTCAGGAAAAGCAACCATTTAAACTGGAAAAACACTTCCACTGTTATGCCCTCATTAACTGATATGCCATTAAAAACGGTGGTTCTTTTGTGTCCTTTACAAAATTGCAGCACATGGAAGGAAAGCAACTTGTAAACATGAAAAGCTTGCCTCTCCCTTAAAATGACTGTTTGAAAGAAGCTGTTGTTGCTGAAGATTATAATTTTTAGTATTGCATTTCAGAAAAAAAATATTGTCAATTATCAAAATTTATTCAAAATATCTTGCTTAGTATTGGAATGAATTAATGGATTTCCTTATGAATTACAGCAATAATTGAACAGTGAATGGAACAGTCAAGGTCTAAACTAAGTATGAAGTTCTAATATGTTATCTTTTAGTTATCTTCACTAAATCTACTGTTGCTGTAACCATTCTTGTGACATTTCTCTCAGACAATAAACCATAATCTGATTGGATTAATCTCACCTGAATTCAACTACCTGAAAATGAGCTATTTAATTGAAGGTAGCCTCATGATCTCTCATAGTTTACAAAAGAGAGAAATAGCTTCATTTGAGAATTCATCCCACTGATCACAGATGGTCTAGGCAATGGTGATTTCTCCTTGGTGGTCCACACTCAGCTCTTGACAAAGAGGAACGTCTGATAGTGAGTTTATACTGAAATTTTAACTTTCAGATGTCTAAGTGAGATGAATTCCACTTTGTATATGGAGAATCTGTGGTTCACTTTCTGTGAGGAAAGCACAGCTGAACAGAAGATACGTCTTTGTACTAGCTACTAGCATCTTCCTGCATCCTAAAAGCAAGTCTTTAATAATTGTTCTTTTCTGACTGACACAGTGATGCTTCATTTTTGTTTGGAACTATCTGAATTAACTATGATAAAAGAATTATACAGTAAATTTTACATATAATGTCCATGGTAAAGTGCATCAGTTTACCATTTTTTGGTGGAAGAAAATAAAGAATCACCTTTGATATTTTAGAAGATATTAGAATTTGATGGAAATGTAAGATTATAAATGACTTGTTAATTCTTTTTGATTTAAAAGGAAGATCAAAATTTTAGTGAGGCAACTGAATAAAATTTAAGATAATATATGTTGTAACAAAACATAGAAAACATAATGAAAGAATTTGTACTTTACAATTTTGTTTTGGCCCCAAAATTACAGAGATGTTCAGAATTTTTTAATTTATTCTCTCCTTTTCTGTAAAAGGTGACAATATAATTAAAAGATGTTGGTTACATACATTACATACATACATATATATTTATAAGTATATATTTTCATGTATAAGCTACTTGAGTTCTTTGCGTACCTGTATGTGCATACATTATACAATTTTGCAGTGCTACTACTAGTTACATGCAATAGACAAAGCAAAGAACAGTCCTTCTCCAAAAATCTTAATGTATATCCTGTGTAGACAGGTGCATCATAACTGAAAAAAATAACAGGGGGTGATAAATGGCTGAAAAAGGACTGAAAACAGTAATTTAAAGATGTTATTTTACACACATATTGTTTCAGGGATCCTGTAGAGATTGCTTTACAATAAACAGTGTGTTGCCATCAGAATTTTGCTTAACTCCTGCTGAACTCTGTGGGAATTTTGTATAAAAATGGGTATAGCAGAAGTATTTACCAGTACAATAAAGATAAGGTGTATGGGGAATTTCAGATTTTAACTGTAATTTCACTAATATCACAGAGGGAAACTGTCTTCATAAGAAAACTTTAAAGGAGGCAGGAGAACAAGAGACTATAAGCTTCTAATTCACAGAATCTGTTACATACTGAAAATATTGACCAGGAAAAAACATAGCAATCAACCAAAAACAAGAATAAAAAAGAAAAATATAGAGTTTCAATGTAAAAACAAATTGTATAAGATACACCTGGAAGAATGCCAGAAGGGACAATACTCATTCCTTGAAATGTATTTCTTGATTACAGAAGAAACCAGGAAGAGCAAGCACTGAGTTTACCACATCAGAGTTCCCAATCTGGTATTTCTTTTCATATCTGTAGTGAAAAAAAAAAGCCTGAATTATTTTATAGTCACAGCTGACTCATGTTGCAATTTGCTATTGACCTTCGTTTCGCTTAACTCCCAATCTGTCAACAGAAAAAAAAATTCTATAGCATCCTGGGTTTTTTCAATCTAAAAGCACTTACAGATGTTGAATTTTTAGCATGTGACATACTTAACAGTAATGCCATTTAATCTAGCTAGTATCATCTTTCATTCCCTCCCCCATTTCCATTTAAACTTGAATATTACTCTTTCTTTGTACCACTTTGCCATTTTCTATGTCTGTGACAAATATTCTCTTATTTTGAAAAGCAGTTTATGAAAACAGTATTAACCTTCTGAGCACCAGCTTCAAAAATAATTACTGTAAAATGCTGGTTTGTAAGGGGGAGCTATTGAAGTGGGAAAATTATGTCATTACTCAGAGTAATCTACCAAAACACAGATTTTACAGAGGAATGTTCCAAGGCCTGAAGCAATGTAGTTGGACAGATCTCTCCTGTGCGATGATACTAATAAGCTCACTCTTGTTGTTTTTATTAGTATTCATTTGCACTCTCCTGTCTTTTGAGGATTATTGCCTCCTGGTCGGAGTGGCACCTAGAGCTGAGTCAATCATAGTTCAGTTTATTAGACTGCAGTGTGTCTGTCATGTTTTGTAATAATTACGAAAACAAAACAAGTTGGATTGCTTTAATAATCATAGGGTATAACCATAATCAAGCCAAATAAAACTCCATTCCTACTACATCTCAAAAGACTAGAAAAGGTCTCCAAATAAGTAGTCCCAAATAGAAGCAAATGTTGTATTGAGCACTTTGAATATTTTCTGAATAGTTATTTTCATGTTCAAGTTTTCTCAGTAAGACCAGGTTAAATCTCATTCATTCAAACTAACTGCAAGAGATACCAGAAAATCCGATGAAAGGTATTTTTCCTCAGGCAATTTACTGTTTTATCATTTTATGTTAAGAGAGGTCAAATTATCAGGTATAGGCAGGCATTTAATTACGCATGTGAAGTTTGAGGACATAAATATCCTAGCAACTTTGCCAACATAGGCCCATAGCAATCCAGGGCCACTCAGATGGGGACAGACTGAAGAGTTAGCTGTAAAGTGAATTTCTACCTTTAGTCAGCTGAATTGCTCTCTAGGCACTACTGATTGTACTGATTAGACAGTTACAGTAGCCATAAAGGGATCTCAGACACCTGAAGTATCTTAGTGTAAGAAGATAGCAGTTTAATGGCACTTTCATTGCAATTCATAAACAAACAAACAAATAAATAAACTTTTTTCCTTTTCTTGCATTTTGTATCATTTTAAATGTTATACAGACCCATATACATGTTCTCTTGCAGTTGATATTCTCTCACAACTCATTGGAATTCACGCTATTTGGTACTTCAGGAAAAAATAGTGAAAAATAACACTGGAAAACAATGCTGTTTATGCTTGTGTGGGTCTGGGTGTGGCAAAAAAACTATAGATTTATCCTATTGTCAAATTTTAACTTTGATGGAGTTCAGTCAGCTTTCCTCAGTCCATCTATGTTCAGCTCATTCTTTTCTTCAGAAACCTTGGTGATATTCAGAGCTTAGAAATGTTTGTGCAGTGTCTATGGGACGAAGAAGTTGTGCTGTCCTAGTATAGTCTGGATATGGAATACAGATTGCCAAACTTTATCACAGATTTTTAATACACACTTACTATGTGCACAAAAACTAAATTTGGTAAAAGACATTTTGTGTGACATTGCCGTTTTGTGTGAGATTACCAGCTGACTTAGTAGTAATATTAAGGCAGTGGCCGATTAAAGCTGTTACTTAATCAAAAGATATTTCTTCATGGAATTTAAACTAGTATATTATCTTGTACAATAATACACAGATTTTTCAATGTGATGTCGTATTAGAATTATAGTAATTATTCTGTACCATTGATAGTGTAATTTATATTTGGTCTCTTCTTTTTTTCCAGGTCTCCCAGCAAGGACATGGCTTCAAATGAAAGAGAGATTGTGGTTTGGGTTTGCCAGGAGGAGAAGATTGTATGTGGCCTGACAAAGCGCACAACTTGCTCAGAAGTGATTCAAGCACTGCTTGAGGAACATCAGAAAACATTTGGTGAGAAAAAGATCCTTTTTGGAAAACCTAGTGATTACTGCATCGTAGAAAAATGGAGAGGCTCAGAGCGAGTACTGCCTCCTTTGACAAAGATTCTGAGACTTTGGAAGGCCTGGGGGGAAGAGCAGTCTAATTTGAATTTTGTGTTGGTGAAGTCAGATGCCTTCCTCTCGTTTCCATTGTGGAAGACAGCTGAAGCCAAGGTAATACAAAACGTAGAAAAACAGTGGGACCTCAGTCCAGCAAATTACATGAAGATGTTGCCAATAGACAAGCAAAAGAAAATTGTGAGGAAGACTTTCCGGAAACTGGCCAAGCTTAAACAGGACAGTGTTCAGCAAGAGAGAGACAATATGGAGACACTGATTCATCTGATAATTTCTCAAGATCATACCATTCATCAACAAGTCCTTAGAATGAAGGAACTGGATATGGAAATTGAAAAATGTGAAGCGAAATTCCATCTAGATCGTGTGGCCAATGATGGAGAAAATTATGTACAGGACTCCTACTTAATGATCAATCCAAGTGAGGCTGAGCAGCAAAGGAGTAGGCCAGATGATCAAAAAGAGATGCAGGACTATTTGAGCAAAAGTGAGGGCATTTTACAGGTTGAAGAGAGACTGAAACATCACAAACAATTAATAGAGAACCTGTGTGCTGAAATTGAAAAAGAGGTACACGGTATATGCACGGAAAAAATTGTAGATGGTGTTCGCACAGAAGTAGCTGCTAATGCTGATTTGGAAAACTCAGATTTGGAAAGTGTAAAATACGAGCTGGAAAAAAGTATGAAAGATGGTCTAAGAATCAACTCATACCTGAGCTGCATTCAGAAAGAACTTACATACAGGGACTCACTGCTTCAAAAGAAGGAAAAAGAATATGAACTTCTTACAGAAGAATTTAATTTACTACATGTTAAAGACAACATTGAAACTAAGCTTCAGTCAAATGAAGAGCCATCCAAGGGCAGTGGCATCTCCAGTAACAGCACTGCTGTTCCTGACTTTGTTCATAGAGTGACTAATCTGGACATAAATGATACAGACTCTGACACTGGAATAAGCTCTACACACAGTCAGGACTCTGAAATAACTTCAGGAGACGTGGTACTGTTGTCAACATAGTTGAAAACAGTAATGCATTTAGGAAAGGTTGTATTTTGAGGATATTTATAAGAATTAGTAAACCTTTTTGTCTTAAAAGTTAAGCTCTTTAAGATGTTAAAACTGTGGCACCGCTATAGCAGCGTAAACACTGTCTATTTATGTCTTTAACAGTATATTTGTGCTGAAATGTATGGGCAGTATCATGAATTTGCTGATAGGTGCAAAGTTGTTGGCTCTGCTACATCAAGACAGCCTGTTTAGATCTTGTAATATTGATACTCAGTGGAACAGGAGCATTCTGACTGGCTTGGCCCAAAAGTTTGGAGATTTGATATCCTTTGATCTTTGAGTCCACTCCTGCATCTATCTAACTTTTTAGGAACATGAAGTAGAGACTAGAGCAAACTAGACAGAGAGCTTTATTTTCCGCTCTGTTACATTAGCTTTATTCAGATGGAGTTTTGCTGCCATGGAGCTGCTGTAATGGAATATATAATTGAGCATGTAATTTGATAAAAATTAGTTTTCATGATATAAGAAATATAATTGTATTTATGTTGTATTTTTAAATTTAGTTTCATCAGGATATTTTCAAAAACTCCTAAGTGCCATTTTAAAAATTACCTTACACACATAGGTTTTTAATTTTGATTCTCTTTCAGCAGCACTTACCTGCTTTTAAGATACTTAACCTCCCTACTTATCTGCTGTTACCCTGTAGTTGTCCCAGTGATGTTTAAGTCCACATAGTTTCTGCCAGCAGGCATGTCACAACTGCTTATGTCCTGCTTGTGCGAGATGCTCAAATCCCAAACTCACGCTTAACCCCAGGGGCATTTTCAGGAAGGCTTTCTCCTGCCTATCTCACTGTTTGGATCCAGTGTCTTAAGCCTCCTCAAATAATGACTACCAAAAAAAGCATAACAGAAGCGACAAGCAGGGACTAGACATTTTTGTCTTTGTCTAGACACGGTTTACCAATAGGCAGCTAGTTACTATTTTCACATAGCAGGTAGGTTGTCAAATTCCATATTATAATGTTTTGGAGCAGGAACCTGTAAATCCTATTTCCTCCGTGAGGACTATGGGATACAGCTAAAACTGATCCACTTTATGTAGCTAATTCAATATTAGGCCCCAGATAAAACAAAAAAGAGGGAATGCAACATATGAGAATTTTGCAACTATGTGGTTAAGTTAAATGATTTAAAATGTAGTAGTTGACCTGTAATCCTTCTCTAGCACATTGCTGTAAATCCAAAGTAAAGCTGTAGAACTGAGGTGCTCTCCTCAGTTACCAAACAAGATTTCTAACTCTGAGCTAGAGGCTCTGCTAATAGAGAGTACATGCATAATTTCTGGGTTGCCATGTTTGTGTTTTGCAGAACATTCTGTTTAATGCTTCTGATTAAAAGAATTGAATGAAGAAATCACTACAGTGTTCTTAAAAAAAGTTCAGCTGCAAAATTCAGACAGATCTGGGAATCAACAGAAGGTATAAATGTAAAATACTTTCAGATACACTGCTTTCTCGTTCTGTAATTTTCTTCTCTTAAATGTCTTTCAACCATCTGTCTTCTAAAATGACCAAAGTGCTAGGACTGCTGATTAGCACATATTTGATGCAGAAAAAGAAAACAAAACAAAAATTTTCTAAAAAGGAAACTTTTATTTTTCTTTTTTGTTGTTGCTGCTGTGGCTTGGTTTTAGTTTTTTGGGGGGGTTGTTTGTTTTTGTTTTTTTTTTTAATCCTGGATATTATAAATAGTTCCTGTTCCAACAAAGTGTGCTACTTGCCTTAATATATTTTGTGTTGTATTTTGTCATACGATGCTATTTGAATGCTTCAATAATAATGTGTAATACTTAGACTCATCAGCTCCTGATGGAAACACATGTATCAAATATCTTATCTTTGTAATAATTTATTAACGCAACTCTGCATCTTTTAACCTCTGTGGTATTACTTTGACAAGTAGTAAGCACAGAGCTCTGAATGCTGAGAGTAGGCTAATGTATTCTATGAGTTCTTGGGAGTTTAGTTAACAGTTATTTCTATTGAGTCATTTTTTTATGTCTAAATACTTAGAGAATAGAGAATTGAAACAGAATAATATGCACAGCTGTGCAGGCTAGAACAAGACCCATGGGGGAACTAACTAATTTCCACTCATACTCTATCAGATTTATTTAACTCATAGGAACTTGTATGGGTTCTCACAACTGATTTTTATCCACACTAGGTGGTTAATTGTACCCCGCCTTGCAACATGTAGATCTTAAGAGTATCACTGTGTTTTAAGAAGAAAATGGGAAAAGTAGATTGGGAGAGAGTATTTCTTAAAAAAAAAAATAAAAGAATAATAAAAATGATAAATAAAAATAATAAAAATCCTGTGTTTCGATGCATTTATTTGAAATTTATTCTTTGGTATCTCAAGCTTTTTTGTTTCAGAATTTATATGAATGTACAAGATGATGAAAGACTGTGTGCATCCTTTGCTGTCTATCCGCCTCGACACTTTCCATATACTTGTTCAACGTGGTTTTAGAACATTTATGCTCCTTACTTCCTCCTCTGTCTCAGCTATATTTTTCTTTCAAAGCCTTAAAAGGAAATACACAATCAAAAGCTTTCCTATAGTTTCCTATCATTCCTTTAAGCCAATTGACTTTTGATCTTCAAATTTTGTTTCTTTTTATAAAATTTTTATAGACTATGTTACACTTACCTACAAAAAGGAAGATCACATCATAAGTCCTGCATAAGAGGAGAGACAAATTCTAACCAGGGAATGGAAATGTGAAATGTCAGTGTAAAGTGAAACAAAAATCAGAAACGTAATTGTTTCATAGAATCATAAAATTATTTGGGTTGTAAGGTGCCTTAAAGATCATCTTATTTCACCCCCTGCCATGGGCAGAGACACCTTTCACTACATCAGGTTGCACGAAGACCCATCCAACTTGGCCCTGAACACTTCCAGGGACGGGGCATCCACAGCTTCTCTGGGGAATCTGTTCTAGTGTCTCACCACCATCACAGTAAAGTATTTCTTCTTTGTATATAACCCAAAGCTACCTTTTTTCAGTTTGAATCCATTCCCCCTTATCCTGTCACTATATGCCCTTTTAAAAAGTCTCCAGTTTTCTTGTAGGTCCCCTTTAGGTAATGGAAGGTACACAGCAGTCTCCCCAGGGCCTTCTCTTCTCCAGGATGAACAACCCCAATTCTCAGCCTGTCCTCAGAGGAGAGGTACTCCAGCCCAGAGAAGAATGCAGCACACCAGGTGGGGTCTCACAAGAGCAGAAGGGAAAAATCACCTTCCTGAACCTGCTGGTCACCTGTCTTTTGATTTAGCCTAGGATCTGGTTGGCTTTCTGGGCTACGAGTGCACATTGCCAGGTCACACTGAGCTTCTCATCCACTACCCATACCAAGTCCTTCTACCCAGAGCTAGTCTTGATCCATTTTCCACCCAGACTGTATTTGTGTTTGGGATTTCCCTCACTTGGATGCAGGACCTTGCACCTGTCCTTGTTCAACTTGATGAGATTCTCTTGGAGCAACCTCTCAAGTCTGTCAAGTCCCCTGTGGATGGCACCACACAGGCTGATATCTTTTGGTCAGCTACTCATCTACCCCCAGGCAGAGAGAGCTCCATGAACTCCAGTTGGTCATTGACATAGAGGACAGCAGCCCCAGCTTGTCTCCCCTACCTGTCCTTCCTACAGAGCCTGTGTAATTCCATTCCAACAGTCCAGTCTTAGGATCCATCCCACCATATCTTTGTGATACCAATAAGGTCCTAGTGTGCATCTCTGACTCCTCTTGTTTATTCCCTACCCTACATGCACTTGCATATAGGCATTGAAGTTGAGCTCTCAGTGAAGACTATTTGCTGACTAAAGTGAGAGGAATGCCTTTGTGCTGCTCCTCAGGTACCCTCCTGCTGACCTGCAGTCTCTCTCCAGGCTCTGGTCATGTCTTGGTGGCACTGGCATCAAACTGGTGGTAGGAGTGGGACGGATTGAGGTTCCCCTCCCACAGCAACTTTAGTTTAAAGCCTTCTTCACCAGCTTGGCAAGTCTATAACCAAAGGTGCTCTTCCTCTTCTCCGACAGATGTTCTTCATCACACCTCAATAGACCAGGTTTCTGAAAACAAGTCTCATGGCCTAAGTAGCTGAATTCCTGGCTATGGCACCAGTCCTCCAACCATAATCTGATGAATTGTCAATTTGCCAGATATCAGTGGCACTTTCAAATCCCTACTCTCTGACAATGAGAACCAATGAAAAAGCTGCCTGCACTCCAGACTCCCTTACTGCTGCACCTAGGGCTCTGTAATCATTCTTGATTGATAATCAGACTACTGCAGGCTGTAACACTGGTGAAACAACAGCAGATTCCCACCTGGGCACAGCTTTTTCAGGCAGGTCTGCAGCCCGTCCCTACCACAGCAGAAGGGTCAAGGCACTTCCCACAGTGCAGCCCCATCTGTGGGGGAAGTATAAGCCACCACCAGGTAAAACATGGAGCCCTCCCAGCTGGAGAACAGCCTTAAGGGTCAGGTAGTAGTGCCCTTGGCAATGTACAGAAGGGTGCTGTAAACAAATGGTGGGTTATGTGGACTCCATATCTCTTTACTCAGGCTCCTCCTTCAGAGAGGCAACACACACACTGCCATGCCACACCCTGTTTGTCTCCCCTGGTCACAGTGCTCCTAGTTTTCTTCAGAGCTAGAGAATAGCGAAGAGGTGCCAGACTCAGCCTGTGTTATGACTGGTTTTGGGTGGGATAGGTTAGTGCCTGATATGAACCTATGCAGAGATCTTCAATGACTGTCATCTGGGCTAACATTGATCAAATGAATGGACGTGCCTAATACAAAGTTCTTTGGATCCTACATACATAAATAGTCTCACATATATATTTATAACCAGGATAATTCCAGCAATTTCCAGGGAACAGCATATACCCCAAACTCATGTTTCTGAGTGACTTTATTATGTACTTTTACAAATTTGATGAAAGCGGATGAGTCAGTTTAATTACCTGCTTCAGTTTCTTGATGACTCTTTCAAATAAAAAACATAATTGTAATTTGGTCATAGAGAATTTTACAATATTTACCACCCATTTATGTTCTTAAAAATTGCCATGTAATTAGAAAATTATTGTCTTTTTTTTTTTCCTGCACTCCTGAAGAGATTTTATCAGTTCAAACTTATAGACTTATAGACTATATATTTGTCTTGACATTGAACTTTCAGCAGTTTTTCTACTGGCTGTATATATGTGCTCTATGCATACATACACACATATTACTAACAGGAGTATTCAATTGTATGATACTGAAAGATTGAAATTCACAGAGGTTAGAGCTTCAACTTGCAAACTGCTATGATAGGCTTTACATTTGTCTACATGCTTAGAATCATTTATTATTTTCTGCATATTTCCAACTGTGTAAAGACATAAATAGATAAAATATAACAAATCACTATTACAAAATCATATAATTTCTATTTCTGATTGCCTAATCTTTACTTTGGAGAAAGATTTAGATCCATGCACCTAATCCAGCAAACTACTAATCCATCTAATGCTAAACAATTAGTAATTTGAATGACTTTGTGTGTGCCTACATTGGGTTTGCATGGCATGATTTTGACATCGGTGTGACTACAGGGGTGGCTTCTGTGAGAAGTTGCTAGAAGCTCCCCCCCATGTCTGACAAAGCTAATTCCAGACAGCTCCAAGATAGACTCACTGCTGGCTGAGGCCTCGGGGATAACAGATTTAAGAAGGGAAAAAACTGCTGGGCAACAGTGACTGGAGAGAGGAGTGATAACATATGAGAGAAACATCTCTGTAGACACTAGGGTCAGTGAAGAAGGAGGGGAAGGAGGTGTTCAGGTTGCTGGAGCACAGAGTCCTCTGCAGCTCATGGTGCAGCCCATGGAGAGGCAGCTGTGCCTCTGCAGCCCTGGAGGTCCACGGTGGAGCAGGTGGATATCCAAATGAAGATGTAATCTGTTGGGAAGCCCAAACTGGATCAGCCTTCTGGCAGGACCTGTGAATCCATGGAGATAGGAGCCCATGCTGGGGCTGTGGTCTGGTAGGACTTATGACCCCATGGAG